GCCATGTTGAGCTTATGGTTTCCTGCCACCACATCATTGGGAGTGACAAACTGTCTGCAGTCCAGACGATCCGCCTGCTTCAGCATCAGCTCTGCTCGCCTTTCATCATCACGCTCCTAAAACAGACAGTTATTAAACCTAAAGAACTAGAGATCTGAAGCATTGCTCTAAAGCAGGTGATTATCTAAAAGACATCTGCTACTATGTGATTAATGGATGTTTTGTAGCACAATAATAGGACAATATGAGGGTGTAACATTACAAACAATACACTTTACACCCACATTCAGTCACTTTCTTTGGCATGACAAATAGACTGTTTGCAGGATTGTTTCCATAAAGCATAAACGTTGTTTTGCACAAAATTGAGATACTAGTTATTAATTTTTGAATCAGTTTTTTAATCACATAGTTGCGCTATATGTCGACGCACTAACCACAAGGCTATCGGCGCCGACATAAGACAGATTTTTAAACTCAAATTACAGTTTGCATTGCTTGAATAAAATTTAAGCTTGCTTATACAAAACCTGTTGTGCTGTTATGTGCTTTCAGGGTACTCTAGGTGATTGTTAGGCCATTCAATTATTTAAAAATTATACTTTCACCAGTTTTAGAGTAAAATTCAATAAGTCATTTGGGGTGTCAATAGTAATGAGAATCACCATTGAGAATAACTGATAAAAACCCCTCAGAAGTAAAACATTCAAATGCATTATGATGAGAATTATTGTAGTATTAATGTGGTTAATTGTCATGAAAATAATTCCACATTTTTATTTTATAAGATTTACCAAATAAAATTTCACATGTATGTAATGAGCAACATGATTTTTTTTAATCTTTTTGATTTTATTTACTTTTATTTATCTTTTTTTGAAGTAAATTGTGATAATATGTTCTTCATGGTATTTTGGCATATCATTCATGTCTGTAGCCCTAACTAACGATGCATGATAAATTAATTACATAGGCTTAAGAGTTTTGAAATATAGGGTAACACTTTATTTTAAGGTGTCCTTATTACATATGCTACATGTACTTACTATTATAATAACAATTAATTATGCATAATTACATGCAAGTAACCCTAATCCAAAACCTAAGCATAAACCTAACCATATAGGAAGTACATGTAGTTAATTAATATTACGCAGTTCTTAAATGTATTTTCATCTGCGTTTTATACTATTCAAGTTAACACCCATGTGTCTAAACTAATACAGTTAGACGTGAACCCATACTTAATTAAATGGTACCTCTCTTTTCTCACCAATAGAACCCAAAGGGTTAAAGTGAACAATGTCCTGTCAACAGAAGTAAAAACAAATGTTGGTGTACCTCAGGGGTGTGTAAGCTCTGCTATGTTATTTACTCTGTATACAGATGACTGTCGAGTAAACAGGAATGACCAATATATTTTAAAGTACTCCGATGATACTGTGTTAATATCATTATTGAATAACCAAGAGTGCTTAGAACAGCATCAACAGGGGGTAAACAAATTGGTCGAATGTTGTGACAACAATGCCCTCAGTATTAATAAAAAAAACTGAGGAGATAGTATTGGGCCTGTTGCTGACATTCATACAACTCCTGTTGTTATACATGAAGAGAACATCAAACAAGTAGAAGCATATAGGTACTTAGGAGAGACAAAAACATTAAAACCCATTATAAACGAGGCATTTGTTGCATCCAGTGTGGACATAATTACTGATTATAATGACTTATACTGTCTTTTTATGCGTCGTGTTGCATCGCGCCTTGTAAACATAAAACCATGTCTGCATTTGTGATCAGAGAAATGACAAACAACAAGCACTACTCTACACTGCTCAAAACTCGCGTTTGAATCGTCAGTGGCAAATCCTTTAATATAAAAAACTTACTTAAAGTCTGTGAGTCAGAACAGCCGGCATTGTAGTCTACTCTACCAGGATCAGGAAACAGTCCTCCATAAAATGTGCTGCACACATCTGAATATTTGGGTTTAAACTGTTCTGGAACAGTGTTGTAAATACAACTTAACCACTGATTTCTAGTTGTGTCCTCTTTTGGAAGACCAAACAAAGTAGTTTCGCTTTCACAACGAAACACACAGCGTCACACACGTTGGGCTTGAGTGAGGGGAGGCCGGTGGCTAGAGTGAGGAACGGCTGGGGGCTTGCGGCAACCACATGTGGCTTTGCAACTTTACAGATCTTCTTTATGCACCAAGAGCTTGTAACACTTCAAAGAGAAAGGAAAAAATTGAAATCGCGTCATATGACCCCTTTAAATCTAAATATATTTATGTTGTCCATAATAAAAAAAAAATAAATTTTGCATTTACACTAAATGTATTTTTCTTAACCCCTGAAGTGCATTTTGTAATATATTTTTGCATCTGAAGGTTTACGCTAAATATGTTTTAAATTTTGAAAATATATTACCTTTATCTATGCTATTTGTAATTTATGTATTTAGGATATTCACTACCGTTCAAAAGTTTGGGGTCTCTTCTGCTCACCAAGGCTGCATTTATTTGAGCAAAAATACAGTAAAAACATAATATTGTGAAATATCATTCCAATTTTAAATATCTGTTTTCTACTTTTATATATTTGAACATGTAATTGATTCCTGTGTTTTCAGCATCATTACTCCAGTCTTCAGTGTCACATGATCCTTCAGAAATCATTCTAATAGGCTGATTTGCTGCTCAGGAAATATTTCTTATTATTATCAATGCTGAAAAAAGTCGTGCTGCTCCATATTTTTGAGTATTTATTGACAAATAGAAAGTAGACAAAGAGTAAAGACATTTATTAATTTAACTTTCAATTCATTTCATGCATCTTTGTTGAATGAAAGTATTACTTCATTAAAAAAAGTTCTTGCTGACCCCAAACTTATATATATATAAGTGTGTGTGTGTGTGTGTGTGTGTGTGTGATAAACTTTAGCCCAAAGCCTAGTTCTAATGGGGTGATGTCAATTTTCAGTAGCAACAGATAATTATGACTTCTGTTATAAAGCTTATAAACTACCTTAATATCATCACTGAAGTTTCTGATTGGTTCCCAGCCAGCAGCTTTGAGGTGATAGTTGACCCATCGCAGCAAAATGTCCTCAGGGGACATTGACATCAGGTGGTCCAGCTCCTCTGACTCACCCAGCAAAGCAATTAGAGCTACAGAGGCATAAATACACAGACACGTGTTACTCAAACCTCTTAATAGGCGTAAATCAGTCACGCACGTACATGCATGCTTTTATTTATTTATGGCAGCAATCAGCACCCCATTGGGACAGCACCATGATTATAAAAATCTGAATTTAGGCTATTGCAGCAGAGTAATGACCTTCATTGCGTGAGATCTCAATGTCAGCAAAGAGGCCGATTTTTATGATTTGCCAGAGGAGGCCAAGCACGAGGTGAGGGGTTCCTGCTTTCATGTCCTGAGCATCGATGTTGACCACCGTGCAGCCAATAGCTGACGCAGAGTTGAGAGCCAACACCAAATTCTCCTGTAGAAAACAACAGAATTGTTAGAATTTTTTTTACAGCTAATTAACACTGACAGCCAATCAGAATCCACCTGACTTTAAAAAGCTAGAGCATTAAAACGACAGATGACTAAACTGCAGCACACGCTTATAATAAACAGAACATTATCGTGTGATGTTATGGATGCTATATATAGATAGTGTTATCTATATAGCTGTCATTTTCAGTGTGAACGGGTCTTAAAGATGATAAACATACAGAAAGTGCATTAGGAAGTATCTCAAAAAACTTGTCCAGAATGTGTTAGGTTATATGTCACCCAAATATAATTTAAAAAAAGTTATGAAATATATTTCAACATTTTTAATTAAAAAATGTGTACAGGATAAGAAAATTATATATATTATTAAGAATATATTTTTTAGTGATGTGACACACACACACACACACATTTATATATATATATATATATATATATATATATATA